AATATACCCTTTGAACCCGCCTAGAAGGGTTCAGAGACTGTCTACCTCCCCTTCGGCAAAGCTTCGTCCGGGTTCCTCTCTGCCAAAGCAGAGAGTTTGACAGACGTCGAGAGTGTATCTCGACGTATCTCAGTATTTAATATCCCACTCACGAGGAATATATGTGGCACAAGGCCGAGTTTAAAGTGGCTCGGACAAAAATATCCCCTTTGAACCTGCATAGACGGGTTCAGGGCCTGTCTACCTCCCCGGACGAAACCTTGCCCTTCGGCAAACCTTCGTCCGGGTTCCTCTCTGCCAAAGCAGAGAGTTCGACAGACTTCGACACTGTATCTCGACGGATCTCGGTATTTAACATTCCACCCACGAGGAATATATGTGGCACAAGGTCGAGTTTAAAGTGAGTTTCTCCGATCCCGTAGACTTAGCCAAAAAATATCCCCTTTGAACCCGCCTAGACGGGTTCAGGTCCTGTCTACCTCCCCAGACGAAACTTTGCCCTTCGGCAAAGCCTCGTCCGGGTTCCTTTCTGCAAAGCATAGAGTTCGACAGACGTCGCAAACAGTTAGAGACTGTTTCTCGACGTATCTCAACGTCAGCTATTCTCTCTATCAGTATAAGTATACTTTGGACGAGTCTATCTTATGTAAAAAGGGAGAGCCCAACAACAATATATATATATATATATATATATATATATATATATATATGTGTGTGTGTGTGTGTGTGTGTGTGTGTGTGTATGTATATATATATATATATATATATATATATATATATATATATATATATATATATATAGATGTATGTATGCATGTATTGTGCTTGCGCGTGTATGTGGCAGACAAATCTGTAAATCAGTAAAAGAAATTTCTTTAACGTGAAGCTTTATATCTACAGAAAGTATTTTGTCTTTTTTCTCTATTTTTTTTCTAAATAGACTCTTCTAAATCTTCTTAAATGTTGGCATTGTCAGATCTTGGGCTTCATCAAGAAGAGTCACCGATTTCCATTTGCCCAGCCCCAGAGAAGCGCTGGCTTACAGGAGAATTTTGACCGTTTGGGACTGAGCCAGCTGTTGTTTATGTTATCTCCTTGATTGGATGCTGTTCAAGCAAATTGCATCTGAGTCTGTAGGAGTGCTCGAAGCGTGTCACATACGGTTGAAAAGGATTTTCTCTCACATTTGTAAGCAAAATGTCGCATATCAAAATATTCACATGGTTTAACAGTTTCTGCCATGAAACAGATAGGGCGTTGTTTATAAACACGAGTTTAAATAGTAACCGAAACCCCGCATATACACACACGCAAGCACACGCGCATATATATATATATATATATATATATATATACATATAACCTGGATTCTTTTTCTGAAAATATATATGTATGGGTATTTTTATATATTTTGCATACGTATGTATATTTTCCACTAATATTATCTATCTATCTATCTATCTATCTATCTATCTATATATATATATATATATATATATATATATATATATATATATATATATATATATTGAACAATAAAAAATATTAAATAATTAAAATCTTCAGACACACTGGGTTGTAGATTAATATTCTTTCGTTTTTATTATTATTATTTCATTTAGATTCCTCGATTAGTTTCGGCCAACATGGCCATCATCGGGAGAAGAAATATTTCTGCTTGCTGGTAGCAATGAACTACATATATATATATATATATATATATATATATATATATATATATGTGTGTGTGTGTGTGTGTGTGTGTGTGTGTGTGTGTGTGTGTGTGTGTGTGTGAGATTGAAGTCAACACCTAGATATTGACGATTGCATATAGGCATGAAACAGACTGTTGCCGCTGGGTGTTGACTTCAATGCCTACTTTTATATTTATATATGCTCTTTCCCTGATATTGAGCACATTAACCCATAAATACATACCTTACAACTATATATATATATATATATATATATATATCAAACGATGGTTTCCCCGAGAAAGAGTAATGCAGGTTCTATCCTTACAGAGGAACGCATCTTTCTTTAGTAAGATACATTGTTTAATAAATAAAAATAGTGTATGTAGTCTAGAATACTTAAATTAAGAAAAATCGATAAAACTCGCAAACAAATTAGACATTGCTAATAACTAGGATCGTTACCACCTCCAACTCAATCGGAGATATAGTTAGGAAAATAAAAATAAACCTAACACCAATTCAAATGCCGTGATTTTTCAATTAAATTGTTTACATTACAAGGATCTTACTCTCTCGTTTTGCATCGAAACGATGCTGGATATACCTTTGATTTCACTAATGTCACCCTTATTTAAAAAAAAAAAGCAAAAAAAAGCATAATTCTTTAATGCGAAAATGCATTGAAAACTTAATAATATTATTAGCAAGTATAGACACACGCTTAAAACATTAAAATACATCGCCATCTTTCTTTGAATCCATTCTTAAAGAATCTAACATATCTATCTAATACAAAGAATACATGCTTAGAGAGATCAACCATGTGACACCCCGCTGCGTGGGATGACCTGACAAAGGTGAAGTCAGAACGCCCACTAGACAAACACGGATACATAATCACGAATACACATTGCCATCCAATGCCCACTTAAACATACAAGTATCTTCACCAACTTACATACACATAGAATTATCTACGGTTTTAATGCCCGTGACACGTGACTAATGAGAAATGGCCTAAAAATAATTGAAAATACCAAAGTTTCTGTCTTTTTTTCTGTTTTCTCTTAATCTCAGACGAAACTTTTAAAAAAGTGAACTTGTTAGATTGATAGACG